TCCTTTCTGGTCAACTTACCAAGATGAACCACAGAATATTATGAAAAGTAGACTCATGGTTTCTTTTTGTTCAGGGACGTCACCAGGTCGGAGCAGGGTGAGGCTCAGCTGCCAGGCTTCTCCCAGCAGAAGGTGGAGAGGAGCGGTCAGGGAGATCCCAGAAATCTTAGCCCGCTGTCCCCAGAAAGGCCTGAGGTTCTGTAAAGAAGCCATTTGGTCCTATCTACCCAGAACACACGGACGCACTTCAGAGACACTCAGGAGACATACGCTTGTGATTGTATTTGTGTAGATACATGACAACTGTGCAGAGGAAAAGCAGCAAGACCCTGGGAGGGAAGGCTGCCCTCCCAGGTACCACCACGCGTTGGACACCAGGGTCCTCACACCACAGGAATGCCTGCACTCAGTTACAGCCCCAGGATCAAACATCCCCCTATGTGTGTCCAGCTAATCAAAACACACTCATTCCAAGTAAAAGGCACACCATGTTCCTCTTAAAACTGTCCTTTAGAAAGTAAGATAGGGAGCATGATGGTGACATTCTCCCTGGCTTTGAAACAGACTGTCATCAAACTAACAATGTAGTTCAGGCTTCAAACTCACGGTAACCCTCCTGCATCAGCCTCCCAAGTACTGGGATAATAGATGTGAGCTTTTAGCATTTTCTCTTAAATCTACAGTTCTGACCCTGAGGTTGCCAGAGGCAGGCAATTAGGGGTGGGGTTATGTTTTTCTGAATATTCAGGGGCACAGTTCAGATTCATTCATCTGTGGTACTGCCAGGGCCGGGCCATGTGGTCACTGCTGTGCTGTGACTCCTACTGCCTAAAAGACGGCGAAAAGCGCTCATCAGCTGTGCCCCAGAGCAGGGGTGTGGTGGGAGGTGGCCCCTGCACCTGAATAAATGGGTCAGGGAAATCCAAAGGCTTGGAAAGGACACCGAAGAGCCAGCAGAAGGGTGTGTGCGCAGACCAATCCTGGCCCCAGTCAGGCACTCCTGATGGGAAGCAGAGCAGCTTGGGAGAAAAGGTGTTACCCAAAAGATTTCTACAGGAAAGCTTCATCTTGTGAGGAAAACACAATTCGACACAATAAAATGCATATTTTTCTTTAAAAATCAAACAATAGTGTCAATCATCAAGACACTGATCTCTTCCATTGATAGCTCAGGATGGAGCTAGTCTTTCTTTACCTGGGTCCACAGTCTCTAGTACTACACAAGTCAAGACAAGGCTTTGTTCAATTTAAATTCTGCCACCTACCAAAAAGCCTTGGGAACATTCAATGGTCGAAGGGCACACTTGGTGACAGACGGGAACTGTCTCTTAAGTCTGATACATTGACTTTGCTGCAACCTATTGGGTGAACTGGGAAGAAAGGCCAATCCTTAGACCTCAACACGATCTGAAACACTAATTAACTAGAGGTCTTGCCAGGGGCTGACAGAGGCTGTGGATTCCAAATTCCTAACTGAATCCAGCTTTGCCGGAGGGAGGCTTGCAGGGCCGTGTATACAGCAGGTGCTGGGTCAAGGCAGGTCTTCCTGGCCTGGCTGCCTGTTCTGCTGGAGGCTGCAGGAGGGAGGGGCGCCCAGAGACGAGGAACAGCCTCTCGCAGACCTCGTATTAGTCTTCTCTTTGGTGTCAGCCTAGAGAGAGCAGAAACCCTCTGCTCTGTTCCCCTCTAAACACAGCAGGAAACACAGAAAGAGAAATAAATTAGGTCAACCTCTGCTGCTCCTCAGTGCCCTCGGAAGGACTGAGGCTCACAGTAACACGCTGCCCAGCACAGCCCTGGCCTCCAGTCAGTCCCCAGCTCACTCCCTGACTTCCCAGAGTTCGCCAGCCTGTGTCCACACCTACGTTTTTCTTTGGATAATTTTCTTTTCTTCTTAGACTTTTAATCTCCATATATAGTGCTCTTCTCAATATTTTGACAGAAACTTAGGGATGCTAGAGGGGAAAGGGCCTCATCAAGCGTCGGCGTCTGCCTCTCCCCACCCCACACTGAGGAGCTGAGGTGTGCAAGCCAGTAGCATGGCAGACTTCAGGCCCAGGCACCCCCTCCTCTCCCACCCCGGCTGTGCACCCTCAGTCAGCCTTCGGCAGGGACTTCCTGTGAGAGGGGGGCACAAGGTGTGGGGGCAGGCTGTTGGGCAGCTCGTAGCCGTCCAACTTGATCTTGATGAGGTGCTTGGCCAGTGCGAACTCCTCCTCATCCAGCATGCCGTCGCAGTCACAGTCGGCCAGCTTCCAGATCTTGCCCAGGACGCTGTTGGGCAGCTTGGAGGTCACCATTTCCTTCTTGGCATTGACGCCCGAGATCTTGCCGTTGATGGGCGACAGTGTGTAGAAGAGCTCGTCGTACACGGGCTTGTCTTTAGCCACCACCCACTCCTCCTCGTCAGCACCCTCCTTGGCCCCCTCTCCATAGCCCTGGTTGAAGGGCCCCTCTGTGGTGCCGTCAAAGGCGCCGCCCTGCACCATCTGTGTGGGCATGTTCATCTCCTCCTGGCTGATGAGGCTCATCAGGGAGGAGATCTTGTTGCTCAGCATGTTGTCCACGGCCTCGATCAGCTTGGGCTTCAGCGAGTGGAACTTGGTGAAGTCATAGTTCTCAAGCTGTTCCTACAGGAGGGGAAACCAGATTCGGAGTTATGGTCTCTGCAGGAGGCGCTGGAGGGAGCTGGGTCTCCCTTAAAGTAGACATCCCACCACACCCTCTGCCTTTCAGAACTCTTTGCTGGGCCTCCCATGTCCAAGCGCCCA